GACTCACTTAAATTAATTAATTTAAAATAATTAAATAAAATCTACTAATTTTTATGTATTACCACAAGAGTTAAGCTAAATTACTATCAAAATTAAGTCTAAATAACTCTATATTAAAGAGTTATCATTGACTCTCAAAGTTCTAAGTGACATGATTAATGAAGGTGACACCTTATCTTAAAGGGCCTCAACTAGTGGAGTTTATGATTTGATGACCACATTTGAATTTGTTTTTATTTTGCATCTTATGATAGAGATTTTGGAAAAGGTAGATAATTTATGGGGACTTCTTTAATGCAATGAAATTAGTAGCTACAAAAAAGAAATTTATTCAAAACTTTGGAGTTAATGGGTGGGATGTTTTGTTTCAAGATGTCAAGTCTTTTTGTGAGAAACATGAGATAGAAATTCCTGATATGAGTGGTCCTCGTCAATCAGGTAAAGGTCAAGTAATGAAAGGTGAGAAAATTCTGATGATGCTTCATTATTAGATTGATTTATTCATTGGTATTATAGATTCAATACAAGAGATTAATAGTAGATTTAATGAAGATACAATGGAGTTGCTTATTCTTAGCTCATTTTTGGATCCTAAAAAAGGATTTAAATTATTCAAGATTGATGACATTTGTAAGCTTGCTCAAAAGTTCTATTCTAATGACTTCATTCATCTAGGAAAGCATATGAAATATGAATTGGATCATTTTGAACTTGATATTAAGCGAGATCCATGTTTGCAAAGTGCTTCAACTCTCTTAGAGCTATGCCAGTTAATTTCAAAGACAAAAAAAATTAGTTGTGTATCATCTACTGGATCGTTTAGGTCAACTTATCTTAACTCTTCTAGTTTCCATAGTAACTACAAAATGTGTATTTTTAGATATGAAAATTGTAAAGACAAGGTTATGTAATAAGATGAAAGATGGTTTTCTTGCTAGTATACTTATCCTTTACATTAAGAAAGAGGTTGTCAAGATTATTGACATGGATTTAGTCATCGATGAATTTGAAAATATAAAAGTACATAAATCACAACTTATAATACCTAAGGTAAAAATCTAATGTTAATTTTTCTTTTTGATTTATGTCTTTTTATATTGATAAATCAGAAAACTTATATATAACTTGTTAATAAAATTTTATGTTATAATTTAATTTAATTTTATTTTAAAAGTAATTAATTTTTTACTTCGAATCAAATCATTAACTTGATCCATAACCTTATAAGACTACTCTTTAACTACCCCTTATACAAAATTCTAAATCTGCCATTGATCATTGTCTACTGTTGTTGGCTTTGTCTGTAGTTTTTGGGTTGGATTCCTTGTGAACTTATTTTATTTTTACATTTCACTCTTTATCTTTGTTGATTGTATCAATTATTGGCCATATGTTGAAACTAGATAAATCTTAACCTTATATTATTAAATCTTCAAAAACTTATAGCTTATTATGACAATTCAAGTCTCAAACTTGTAACAATTTAACCCATAAAAGTTTTTTTTCTCTTTGAATTTTTTTTGGTTTGTATGTGTTTAGCATATTCTCTCTATCTCAAGGTTAAAATTCAGGGTTTATCTATTAGCAAATCCATATCAACATAATGCCATGTCAACATGATTGTGCCATGTCAGCACATAATTAATGCCATGTTACCAAGAAATGTCACATCAGCTTAGTCAAATTATCATATTTAAATACTTAACAGAGAAATTTAATGGTGTTAAAGTTAGGGATTGAAATTAATAAATTGATAAAATACAAGGACTCAATTTACACAAATTATTAGATAGAAATTAAATCTACATTTTTTGTAAAGTATAGACACTAATTGCATAATAATATAATTTTAAAACAATAAAAACAAAAGTAAGATAATTTTTTTTGTGAAAAAATCTACTTAAAATACTATTCCAAAAAAAAATCTAACTTTATGGATTTTTTCTTTTTTTATTAGAACTTTGTAGGAACTAACTTAAATGATATATGAGAATAAATTTAAATTATAGGACCAAAAGCATACCTTATCTTGTTTTATGAGCCATATAATATCATCAATATATGCAGAAGAAAAACAGATTAATCATATTAACTAGCCCCATGAGAAAATCCATATGTGTTTAGTAGTAATTTTTTTCTTGTTAAAAAAAAAAAAAAAGGCGTACAATCCACAAGAGTGAGGTGGCAATGAGTCACGTGGCATTCACGTGAGAAGTCTTCAATGTGGCCAGCGGCTGCAAGGAAACGTTGGGGGTCGCTGGCAAGCCGGACGTACACGCTCTCATTTCTCCATCACAGCCACACAAACAAAATTCCTCACGCCAAATCTTAGGAAAAAAAAAAAAAGAAAACAACACAATGCTCTGAAGAAGTCTCTCTCAATATCTCCTTCTCATCTCATCTTACTTAACCAATCCTCAACATGGACACCGTTCTCTCGAGCTCATCGTCTTTGGTGGTCCGGTCATCTCTCCCTCCGGTCCGCTCAGTTTCTACCCCATCTAAACTCTACTCCGCAACATTCTCTTTCAATCCTTCAATCAACGGCCTTGGAAGAAACCGTCTACCGCTTCTACGGTCGGTTAGTTCCTCTACGGTTCCTAAGTTTTCGATACAGTGCGGTGCCATTAAGGAAATAAAAGAGAGCGAGTTCCAAAGCACGGTGCTGGAATCCAAACGTCCGGTTCTCGTTGAGTTCGTTGCCAGTTGGTGTGGGCCGTGCCGCTTAATCTCTCCCGCCATGGAATCAATCGCTCAGGTTCCTTTATGTACTTATCATCTAATTTTGTATTTATTCCTTTAATTAAGAACTTAAACCCATTTAATGAGTATTAAGAACTTAAACATGATTTATATTTTTTTAATCTCTCTTTAAACGGAGGTTATTTTTTTTCTTGAATCATTGTTAGGAATATGGAGACAGATTAGTTGTTGTAAAAATAGATCATGACGCAAATCCAAAGCTGATTGAAGAGTACAAAGTTTATGGATTGCCTAGCTTGATTTTGTTCAAGGATGGGCAGGAAGTGCCAGAAAGTAGGAGAGAAGGTGCGATTACAAAGCCCAAGCTTAAAGAGTATCTCGATGCTCTATTGGAGACAATATCTGTAGCTTAGCAGATATTCTCTCCTGCTTTTATTTTAACTTTTATTTTTTTTCAGGTATCCTTTATTTTTGTATCGGGGTTTATATAATACTTGTATAATTTTGTGAGCTATAAAAGATACCTAGAAATTTCATGAGATACAATCTGAGTACAGTTCAATGTAGATGTGTGGGCTTCTCATCCTCTCTTGATTTATTCATTTTTTGGGGGGTGAATAATTGTGTTCTGATTACAAATTTATACTGGTATTTGATATTTATATCTGATAAGTTTCCTACAGGTTATAAATGGATCATAATTGGTCATGTCGTGGAAATTAGTTCTAGTATCATTTGCTATCTTAGATTGAAAAAAACTATTTTGATGGAGTGGTAATTTGTGGTGTGTAGAGTTATAGAAGGATAGTTTATCAAATATGAGCTTTTGATTGATGGCAATCAGTAGGATTGGTAGGAAAACTTGTTATGGTTGTCCCTAGCCGCTCTGTTACAGCCTAATGTTGCAATAGCAACAACTTTTCTGTAAATTCTGTTTAGAGGTGCAGAGCCACCTCCTCTTTTTGATGGGTGGTGCTCAACTCGAAAGGAAGTTGAGCTATGATTTTCTTGTTTTTAAGCCACTGGTTGACACCCTGTTATTATAAGTAATCCTTGGGTTTTTTTTTTGTTAGGTGTATCTCACATTCTTCTTTAGTCCATTTGAATAACATCATTTTGTGTGTGTAAGAAACTTATAATCTTTATTGAGGTGTACGATTGTCTGGTCAGGAGATAACGACAGTTTTCAGAAAGACTGAAAGTTTGGTAAAGTTTCGGTGTGTTATGGTAAAGGTAAAAGGGTACAGAGCTTTGTTTTTGTTGTTCTGCTGTTCCTTCTTGTTATTTTCCTTTTCTGATGATCACAACCACAACCTTAACCTAAATAATTGGCAAAGCACATGTGTTGGATCTTGCTTCAAGCATCCCTTTGCTCAACTTTGCGGTTGGCACCTTTAACAGCCTCATCTGGGATGTACTTGGCCCAGAACCAGTGTTGCTTCCATACTTTGTTCATCTCTTCAATCGGGACGTTCTTTGTCTCAGGCAAGAAGAAGTAAATGACGATAGTCATGATTATAACAAAGGCAGCGAAGAAAAAGAAGAGGCCAAACTTCATGTGGCAAAGCATGGAGAGGAAAACTTGAGCAATGATGAAGGTGAAGATCATGTTAACTGCAACGTTGATGGCTTGTCCAGCTGATCGGATCTCTAGAGGGCAAATCTCACTAGGCACCAACCATCCCAATGGCCCCCAAGACCATGCGAATGCTGCTACGTACACACAGATTAAGAACAGCAGGAAGTTGGCATCAGATTTTGACAAGGTCCCCTCACCATTGAGCCCAAACTTCACGGCTATCATGATTCCAACCGCAATCTATAGCAAAATAGAGAGAAAAGTCACAATGTCAACAAAACATTCTACCCAAAAAATAGGAGTCTTGAGGAGCTTATGTATGATGATAAAAGGCGTTCAATTACCTGGCTAATAATCATTTGAACGCCACCTTCAAGGAACAAAATCCTTCTTCCGAACCTATCAGCAGAATAGATGGAAACAGTTGTGGCGAGGACATTCACAGTGCCAGAGATAACCGCAGACATGAGTGACGCGTCATCACCAAAACCCAAGGTCTTGAAGAGAACAGGTGCATAAAACATGATCACATTAATGCCAGTGAGTTGTTGGAAGAATGGAATGAGAATGCAGAGGACAAGTTGAGGCCTGTATCTTGGTTGGAGAATGTTCCTCCATGGGTGATCCACTTTCTTGGCAGCTTCACTCGCATCAACAAGGTCTTGAAACTCATCATCAACGTTTTGGGTGCCTCGAACTTTTTGCAACATTTGTCTTGCCTTCTCAGAATGGCCTCTCTCAAGAATAGAATTGGGAGTGTCTGGTAGCACGATCGCTCCAAGGGTCATCACTAAGGCAGGAACGACTGCAAGAGCCAGAGAAACTCTCCATCCCCATCCACCTTCGATCTTTGCTGTACCATAGTTAATAAGGCCTGCGACTAGAATTCCAATTGTAATGGCCATTTGGAAACCAATGTTCAAAGCTCCTCTAATCTTTGCTGGTGCCATTTCGGATAGGTAAACTGGAACAGACTGTCATGGATAAACAAATCATCTGTAAGTCCTTTACGATAGAAAGGAGGTAGGAGGACGAAATAAACAAGTAGCCGAAAGAGCAACAAGTTTTACCTGATTAGCAAATCCAACACCCACACCAAGCAACAAACGGCCAATAATTAGGACTGCAACGTTCATAGCAACACCATTTAAGATGGAACCGACGAGAAAAGCAAGGCCTCCAACGAACATGGAAACTTTTCGGCCAAAGATCCTCGTTACAACTGAAGCAAAGAAGGACGCTACCAAAGCAGCAAGGTAGAGGGAAGAGGTGAACAATGTAAGCAGCTGGCTATCAAATTTGCAATACTCACTTTCGTGTTTGGCTGCATTATTCTGTTTTGCAAAAACCGAAGGGAAGAACTTTTTCAGAAACGGTTCCATTGAGGTCACCCCGCCTGCAGAGATTTGAAAAAGAATACCAATTCAGAATCTTGGAAAAGAAACACAAAATTACATGCTCCACTAATTAAGATGAAAAGATCATAACAAGACAGGCAATCATAGTCCGAACCTGAGATTCCAAGGTCATAACCGAAGAGGAGACCGCCAGTGGCGGCAATCAGACAGGTGCACACCACAAAGGCGGTGACACGACCTTCATAGCCGGCCCCTCCACCTTGTTGAGCAACAAATCCTCCTCCTGCCATCTCTCAATCCACTCAGGTAACTCACTCTGGCCTTTATGCAAGTCAAGAAAAGTAGGGTCTAAGGAGTTTTGTTTTTCCCTTTCAGGTTTGGTGATATACTGGGGATGTTTTTAGGGTGATAGTTGAGGATCTTTCAAAGGAATTTGCCTGCAAAGGTCCCGCATACCACCAAGGAAGAAAAGGAAATGTAACTCTCTGACCTCCCACTGCTAAATCCTAGATGAAGAGCCTGGCTTTATATATGTGATCAAGTGGCCTGCTAGGCCCCTAAAAACGTGTTTATTTCTAACAACATTGCTGCAAAAATAGGACATATTTTTCAACATTTAACTGGTTTTCCATCTTTTTCTATATCCATACCTTCGGGAATGCCATTTCAGACCCTAAAATTGCGATAACTACTGGATTCTACCTAATCTCTAACCATACTCATCATTTTTTTTTTCTTTTGTAGCAATGGAAATCCTTATCCATAAAATCTACCAATTTAAGTGGTTTGCCCAGGGTATATATAGTTAAGATAACTTTGGCTGGTCATGAGAAGATTTTGGGACTAAATAAGGAAACTAATTTAAACTTAGGTCTAAGTGGTGCAAATCCGAATCCACAAAACGTTATGTCAAGATTTTTCTACTTGTATTTTAGTTGGTTTGTTTTCCATGTATTTATCATTTCCCATATATATATATATATATATGGATCTTGAAGGTAAGCCTCTAAAGCATCAACTGTTATAGGTTTTGACACATAACACAGTCATCTCCTCTGTTAATGTTGTTATGTAGTCAATGTTGTTTCACTCTTTATTAGTATTTAGCTTTTGCTATATTAATCCAGTAATTAGTTGTCATTCTGATTATTTGTAAACACCAAATCATTTATTCTATAACATATTAATATCTAATTTGTCTTTGTAAAAAATAAAAAAAAAAGGAAATAGAAGTTCATCTACTCATGACTTGTGTTGGTATTTTCCATTCCATGAGCAAGTTTTGGAAATTCAAATAATTATCATCTTTATTTATTTTGATTTGTTAGTAATTAATTAGTAATTTTCCATCCATCCCAAAATATGACCTCACTAGCTTTGAATTCACTATATTTGGCACTCATATTCCCATGTATGAACATAAAAAGCATATGGGCCACTTATACCAAGCTAGGTGTTTATTGCTTTATGTGAAGAAGAAGATTAAGAATATATGCATAGTTGCATGGAGCCAGCTGTTTAGGCTTAAATTAGGAAAGGTCTCGCATCGCATCCAAATCTTTTGTGCCCTATTATCCCCATTATTTTTCCTTTTTCATTCCATGAGTAATGTTGCATTTACATAGAGATTTGCCAATTTTTTTCACCTTACTTGGCAAGATAATAAATAATTAGTGAGCGAAGCAAGCGATTTGTACATTATAGTGAGTATCTTTATGATATGTGATTCATTAAAATTTCATCTTATCATTCGATGACAGAACTTTTAAAACTTTTGTTATATTTAACTATTAACATTGAAATTTCAATTAATTTTAAAGAGTGCAGGTTTATTTATTTAAAATTTTACGTAACTAAACACCATAATAATTATATAAAGATTTAATTTAAGATCGGGTCTATATATATATATATATATGTAAACATAAAAATATTCTATTTTTTGGTTTCTCATGACAATTCCTTTTCCCTTTTTAGATCTCAAAAACAAAACCTAGATGTAGATTTTTAGATCTTTCAATTTTCTTTTAAGATTAGAGAAAAAGAAAAGGATTTTCAAAAAATTACTCTTATTAAAGAACATAGGTGAAGGAGAGGAATTGAAAAATGATTCTTTTTTGTGATTCAGTATTGATAGAGGCCTAGTGATTGGCAATTGACGATGAGTGATTGGTTGTGGTTTGTCTAATTTTAGATTTTGAATTTTGATTTTGTCATGTGATTATTTCAATTAGTCATGTTATTTGTTATATGGGAAAAAAAAGACAACTCACATTAGGTTTAATAGTTATATTATCGTTAGGTCAAAAGGGTTTTTGAATTAAAATAAAAATTAAAAAATTTATTTAGATGCAAAAGAATTGAAGAGTTTAATTGGATAAGCGAATTTACAAAGAGAATTTTTTTAAAATTTATGCGGACTGAAAATAGTGATCGGAGAGATACTCCGACAAAGGGGTTTCAAGAAAGGTGAGGAAGACGCGACAAAATGATATGGTAAGCACAATGGTTGAGAAATTAAAGAGTCAAAACTCGAAGAGGAAGATAACGTTTGGGAGGAAGTTGTGAGATAGGATAGGAGGATGGAGAAAGAAATATGGGGTTTTGGGTGGGCAGCGTATGTGTGGTAGATGTTGTTGTAGAAATACGAGAGATACTTGATTCCGTTGACATGGCGCATGCAGGGATAGATGTGACTGCAACACTTGTTGACATTCCAAGTCGCCCTGATACCTTCAAGTGAGTCTTGTATTTCTCCTTAACAAATATGTACATACAAGAGAAATTTACATGTGAAACACAAAGTAGTCCTTCCTAATACATGAAAGTAACAATTACATACATTAGCATTTTAAGCTTACAGCAGAGCACTCTCCTTCCTTCTTTCCTTCCTTGTATGAGAGCTGACTGTCTGAGACATAGCCATCTCCCCTCTCTCACAGTGAAATACATTGGAAAAAGAAGAAAGAGATGCTAGGGTTCACTAATTTAAAGCTTTTTATGTGCTTAGCGTAATAAATTTCTTGTTTCTTTGGCTCAAGGAAATAGTTAATGGTTCGGAATTTTGAGTGAGAATGAAGCTTCAGCTGTACTTTAGTGTTAAGGTACAAAACAAGTACAATACAAAGAGTAAAGCTGCAAACAGATTTGCACAAGGAAGAGGGCAGCCAATGTCACATTCCACATGACATTTTTCTTTGCAACCGAAGATAGTTAGGCAAACAACTTGCCTGAAAGAAATAGTTTTAGAATTAATTTCTTCTTCTCTCTCTTCCTTTTTTGTTTTTTTGTTTTTTTTTTTTTGCTTTGGTTGCTTTCGATCCTCTCATTTGA